AAACTTCTCAGTGGTATCACTCAATTTTAGAACACCCACCAAGTTTTCATAAAAGCATAATCATTATGAGTAAGATGAAATAGAGGATTTAAAAATATTAATTGGAAAAATATTAATCGGACACATCCAACTTGTAGAAGTAGCTTGGGAAATAAAAGAAAGTTTAAGTTGGAAGATTAGTTGTCGGTGTGTGTTGACAGTGCTTTAAGTAAATCTGAGAAGGCAGGGGCATCCAGCTTCTGAAGTAGAGCTGTGAGGGGTTGCTACTGAAGTCTATGAGAAGCTGTTCCCTTTGGGGACCTTCACCAAACATCTGGTGGTGGGCCACTGTTTGTCAGGAGGCCTGCGAAATGGAAAGAAGAGCTGGTCATAGCGTGGAAGAACCTGCTAGCTGCCTATACATCTGTCCTTCACTGGTATCTAATGTCGGACTTTTAGAGGAAAGGTTATTCCTTCCTTTAACTTCCTAAATCTCTTGTAACTTCTACTTTTGGCTAACTTTATTTCTCAGCTTAATTCAGTCCATAACAAAGCAATCCACATGACCTTATATTTCTCTATTCAGAAAAGTTGCTTTATAATGGTGACCTTACAAAAGGGAAAATTTAGACGCAGAGACAGACACACAGGGAATACAATGTGAAAGACGAGTGAGAAGATGGTCCTGCCACTGGAGTGATGATGAATCTACACTTAAAAATCTGAAGTCACCAGAAGCCAGAAGAGGGGCATGAGATAGTTATGTTTGTAGCACCTTTAGAGGGAGCGTGACCCTGAAGGTATCTTGGTTTAGACTGCCTATCAAGCAAAAAATTCTAGTGAGAAAGAAATTTCTATTGTTTTAAGCCACCAAACTTACGGTATTTTATTAGAGAATTCCCAGGAAATTAGCATACTTCTCAGTCAAATCTGAAACAAGTAGTAGTGTGAGTTCCTTTTATAAATGAAAATTTTCAGGAGAGATAAGCTAGATTGCCCAAAGTTACATAACTAGTAACTGATACATCCAGGATTGAAACTGACTGGTTCATGAGCCTATGCAAACTACTTTAATATATAAATATCTGTTTTCAAGGCTCTGGGGATAGAACCAAGGCCCTTACACATGCTAGGAAATTGTTCTGCCCCTGTGTTACATTCTCCTCCCAACAGCTTAATATTTTTAAAACCATTGTTTCTAGCAATGAAACAAATGGATATGAACAAATTTTAAAATACAAATAACAAATGATTGGTTTCCACCTTATAAACTATCATGCAACTATTCAAAAGACACTGTTAATAAAGAAAATGCAGAGATGATTGTACACTATGATCCCGCTTTTTCAGGGGGAGGGCAACAGTGTCTCACGTAGCTGAGGCTGGCCTTGAACTCACTGTCCAGGGACAACTTTGAACTCCTGATCCCCTTGCTTCCACCTGTCAAGGGCTGGGGTTATAGGACTCAATCATCACACATGTTTTTTATATGGTGCTGAGTAGGACATAACCCAGGGCTTTCTGAATGCTAGGCAAGCAGTATACCAAGAGCTACACTCTCAGCTATGAGCCCATTTTTTAAAAAACCAAGAAAAGCAAATAATCAGCTGATTACAAGCTTGGAAACACATGAATATGTACATTTGATACTGAATACAAAAGTGCTGGTAGTATTTGATTACTATAACCCATGGGGGAATAGTAGCGGAGGAAATTTCATAGTGAATGTAGCAGGTAGTTTTTTTTTCAATAAATACGCAAAATTGGCCATGAGTCTGTTAGCTGTCTCGGATGGACAACAGAGCTTTCCTAGTCTACGCCACTGTATAACTCTCCTATTGTTGTGCCAAAACTTACCATAGAATTTAGAAGCTAACAGTGTATCTTGGTTTGGTTTGTAGCTGAGGCTCGCCTTGAACTCACTGTCCAGGGACAACTTTGAACTCCTGATCCCCTTGCTTCCACCTGTCAAGGGCTGGGGTTATAGGACTCAATCATCACACATGTTTTTTATATGGTGCTGAGTAGGACATAACCCAGGGCTTTCTGAATGCTAGGCAAGCAGTATACCAAGAGCTACACTCTCAGCTATGAGCCCATTTTTTAAAAAACCAAGAAAAGCAAATAATCAGCTGATTACAAGCTTGGAAACACATGAATATGTACATTTGATACTGAATACAAAAGTGCTGGTAGTATTTGATTACTATAACCCATGGGGGAATAGTAGCGGAGGAAATTTCATAGTGAATGTAGCAGGTAGTTTTTTTTTCAATAAATACGCAAAATTGGCCATGAGTCTGTTAGCTGTCTCGGATGGACAACAGAGCTTTCCTAGTCTACGCCACTGTATAACTCTCCTATTGTTGTGCCAAAACTTACCATAGAATTTAGAAGCTAACAGTGTATCTTGGTTTGGTTTGGGGGGGGGCTCAGAAATTCAGGCATAGCTCAGAAGAGGGCCTCTGGCTAAAGTTCACTCAAGAGGTTATAGTCAAGCTATCTGGCTCTGGTCTCCTCTGATTTGGGATGCATTCCCAAATCCTCTCACTTGGCCCGTTCCATAGGGCTGTCTAATAAGATTAACAGTTGGCTTTCCCTATAGCAATCCATCTGAAAAATTAATGCAGCACCCAAAATGGAAGCCAGTATTTTTGTAATCTCATTTGGGAAGTGATATCCTGTTACTTCTGTGTCATTTGGTGCACTAAACCAAGCCACTAAATACAGCCCAAAATCAAGGGGGAAAGGATTGTACAAGAGCATGAAATACCAGAAGGGAAGGATCATTGAGGGTCATTGCAGAGGCTGCTGACCAACTGCCTTAAAAGGGTTGAATGGCTAGCTTCGTTCACATGTCTGGCAGCTGAAAATGCCTCAGTAGGCATCCCTCATATGTTTCATCACGATTCCATATGGTCTCTAATGTTCCCACATCACAGTCTAGGCCTCTTTTACACGTGGATTGGTATTCCTAAGAGCAGCAAGAATGGGAAAACCTCATTATGCAGACACTTCTTAAGCATTTGCCTGTACCATATTTGCTAATGTTCTATTGGACAAAGAAATGACCAAGTCCAGTTTCAAGGGATGGAGAAATAGACACTACCTCTTGATTGGTAAAATGGCAAAATCACCTGAAATGAGGCATGTATTCTTAAGGTGATGGTCAAAAAAGACTACATACCCTTCTGTATTCTAGCTAGGAGGTAGACATATGGAAAAAGCACTGCTGTTACCCTCATAACAAAAAAGCTGAAGCCTATGAAATTATAAATTTTCTTGATTGTATCCAAGAATGATTACAGAACACCCAATTAGCTCAAAACAGAAGAAAACAAGCACTTTGGAGGAGGGAGGAAATTACCACTGGATCACCTATGACAGAGCAGGAAGTTGGGGCCACTACACAAGCAGTAAGAATTTAGCAAGCTTTTAATGAATTGCTGAAGGTTAAGTGTGGGGATAGTATGAGACTATAGAAGCCCTGATAGCTGCAGATCTATGTGTGGTTGGTTCCTACATAAGCTTTTCAAGCCTCTCTCGATGGTGTAGGCCTTTAAGAGAGCAGCTGCTGATTTAAAAAAAAAAAGGACAGAAGAGCGTGGTGTGGTGGCACATGCCTTTAATCCCAGCACTCAGGAGGCAGAGGCAAGTGGTCTCTCTGAGTTCGATGCCAGCATGATAGGAGCATGATAAGGGAGTCCTGTGTTCCCAGGTCTTGAGAGTGGACCCCCCCCACCTCCAGCCAGCAGTCCTTCCCCTACTCCACTGGTAGAAAAATCTTCTTGTTTTGTTTTGTTTGATACAAGGTCTCACTGTATCCCAGGTTGCCCTCAAACTCACCATGCAGCCCAGGCTGGCCTCCAATTCACAATCACCCTGCCTCAAAGCCTCCTGGTTTCTGAGATTATAGGCATATACCTCCATGCCTAGCTTTGGCAGAAAGCCTTTTATGGTTGTGGCTCAGCATGATTTTCTACCCTTTCATCATGGTTTTTTGCCCCCATTTCTCTTTCCATTACTCACAGTAAATCTTCACCTGTGTCATGAGGGCAACAGGGTTTGCTGCACACTCCTAGGTGCTCCTAGGTGTTTAAAGCTTTTGTTCTGTAGGAAAGTAGACTCCCATTACAGTTTTCTGCCTTTTTTTTTTTTGGTCTTTTTGAGACAAAGGATAAACCTCAAGGTAGCCTTAAACCTGTTTGTTAAAGTCCTCAGACCAAAGCAAGTCACATAGCCAAGTTCAAAGTCAAGGAGCAAAGAAATTCCACTTTTTAACAAGAAAGATAAAGTAACACTGCAAAAGGGCATGCATAAAACAAAGGGATCTGTAGTTATTTTCTTTGTATCACAATAAAAGAAGCTAAGAATACTATGTGCATATATACAAAACCAAAATGAGTTTTAACTTGTTGATAAACTTGAAATATCAGTTACAAACATATTTGATAGAAACCATTCTAAATTTGAAGAATTTCAGTTATTCTTCTTGTTACACAGAGTGCTTTTCTCAAACACCCTACAGAACTGATAGGTTTACACATCAAATATAATATTTTGTTGCTTTACCTCTCATTTTGGTGTTACTTTTAATTGCTTACTATAATGCAGTAAACATTACTGAAATTTACATAACTTTACATTCTCCTTCCTATAAAGGGTTTCATAACAATTTACCTTACATTTTCTATTTAGAAGACATTTCCTAATGCATCAACTTAGCAACATTTTTTCCCCAGTACAAATTCTATTTCATGAGGCTGTGGAAATATGGAAATTCCCCTTTACCAATGCATTCTCTTTTTTTGTCTTTTTGAGACAGGGTCTCCCTGTAGCCCCAGCTGGTCTGGAACTTGCTATATAGACCAGGCTGGCCTCAGACTCACAAAGATCTGCTTGCCTCTGCCTCCCAAGTGCTGGGATTAAAGGCATATGCCCCCCCATCCAGGTTTCCCAACACATTTTTTTTTTTTTTGGTCTTTTTGAGTCAGGTTCTCCTGTAGTCCCAATTGGCCTGGAACTCATTATGTAGACCAGGCTGGCCTTGAACTCACAGAGATCCACCTGCCTCTGCCTCCCAAGTGCTAGAATTAAAGGCGGGCACCACGATGCCTGGCTCACCAAAGCATTCTTAAAGGGTCCCTTTTAAATAATATTTGTCCCTCTTAAATATTTTTCATCTCTGGTGGTGGATGAATAATTTTTTATACAATGAATTTACATGGGCTCTGTCTTGGATGAATTTTATAATATACACTTAAATTTTGACTTCTGTTTTAAGGCTCTCTTGTTTTGAAGAAATGGGGTTACTTTCAGGTATGAATATTGCGATGCATACTAAGAACTGATTTCTGGGTAAAGCCCTTTCCACAGTCACTGCATTTATAGGGTTTATCTCCAGTGTGAATTGTCTGATGTTTATTGAAATTTGACCTGTCAGTAAAGGCCTTCCCGCACTCTGCACATATGTATGGTTTCTCTCCTGTGTGGATTCGCTGATGTATCTTAAGGTGTGGTTTCTTGGAGAAGGATTTCTCACAGTCAGGACATTTATAAGGCTTCTCTGTAATGTGAGTTCTCTGATGTGTAATTAACTCTGACTTCTGGATGAAGGCCCTTCCACAATCAGTACAAACATGGCGTTTCTCTCCAGTATGAATGGTCTGGTGTTTATTGAAATTTGACCTATCAGTGAAGGCCTTCCCACATTCAGCACATATGTAAGACTTCTCTCCAGTATGAGACTTCTGATGAGTATTGAGATTTGACCTGTTGGTGAAGGCCTTCCCACATTCAGTGCATATGTAGGGTTTCTCTCCTGTGTGAATTCGCTTATGCATCTGAAGTTGTGACTTAGAAGGGAAGGACTTTACACAGTCATTGCATTCATAAGGCTTCTCTCCTGTATGAATTCTTTGATGTGCAATCAAGTGTGCCTTCTGGATGAAGGCCTGCCCACATTCAGTACATATATAGGATCTCTCTCCTGTGTGAATTTTCTGATGCATCCTGAGTGTTGACTTTTGAGTAAAGGCTTTTCCACACTCACTACATTTGTGATGTCGCTCTCCAGTATGGATTTTCCGGTGTATATTAAGGGCTGAGTTCAAGGAGAAGCCTTTCCCACATTCACTGCATGCATAGAGTTTTTCTCCAGTATGACTTGTCTGATGCCTGAGTAGAGACGACAGCTGGAAAAATGTCTTTCCACATTCACTGCATTTGTAGGGTTTTTCTCTAGTATGAGTTTTCTCATGCATCATTAATTCAGAATTCTGTATGAATGCTTTCCCGCATTTAGTACAGATATATAATTTTTCATTTCTATGAAGTCTCAGATATATACTGAGTAGTGGTTTCTCTGTAAAAATATTTACACATTTGCTAAGTTCATGAGTTTTTTCCACACTGTGAATTCTTGGAGGAGTGAAAAGGTGTGACTTTGGAGTAAGGAGCTTCCCAAATTCAGTACATGTTTTTGCCTTCTCCTCAATAGGAAATTTCATATTTTGACTAAGTGTATGCTTTCTGCTAAGGACTTTTCCACACTGATTATTTTCGCAGATTTTTGCTCCCATATGTGCATTTTCATGGTTAGTATAAGAAATGCTATGGGTGACAATTTGACTATGGCCAGTTATTTTGTCAAAATTCTTTGTTGCATTATTTTTATTATGAATATGTAAGTCTAAATTGTGGCTTAAATGCTTTCCAAATGAGTCATGTTTATGGAGTCTTTTCTGTGAAGGAATAACATTTGGTTTTGAATGCATTTGTTTTCCAATATCTGTATATTCATAATTCCACTTAGTAGTCAATATTTTCTTACTGATAAAAGTAGCATGACTCAGAGGGTTGTTCTGTTTTTCCTGATATCTTTTTATCTGTTCAGCATCTTGCCACAGTTCTTTTAAAATGGAATATAGTGAATCATCTCTTGTATCTTCACCCTCCATTTTGCTATGAAATATAGCTTTTTCAGAAATTCTTTTTTGAGACTTCTTAGTCCTAAATGTCCCATCTAAAGAGAAAGAAGAAAAAGAAATTGGCATAAAGAATAGATTGAAGAAGATTTATAGTATGTGTGTATGTGTGTGTGTGTACGTGTGTGTGCATGCATGTCTTTGTGTAGTGTGTGGCTACATGTGGAGGTCAGAGGATAACTTTCAGGAGTTGTTTTCCTCCTTCCACTGTGTTGAAACAGTCTCTCTTGCTTCTGGTGCTGCTCCCCATGTTCCATGCTAGCTGGCCCCCTTGTTTCTGCTGGGATTGCTGAGCAGGTGGGCCTGTGTTGCATAAGAAAGCAGGCTGAGCAGGGGCCAGGGGAGCAAGCCAGTAAGCAGAGTTCCTCCATGGCCTGTGCTCCAGCTCCTGCTTCCAGGTTCCTGCCCTGAGTTCCTACCTTGGGCTCCCTGGTGAACTGTGACCCAGGAGATGTAAGATAAATAAACTCTTTCCTCCCCAAGTTGGTAGTGGTCAAAGTGTTTTATCACAACAATGAAGAACAAACTAGGACAATAAGTTAATCTAAATTGAATTCATCACTAAATCTAGTATGGTGACAGAAAATACATACATACCAGTTATTATGTGCTAATCTCTTAGTGATACATACATTATTCCAGGTGATATTCTAAGAAATATATGTACGTGAGCCCATTCAATTCTTTCAAAAGTTCTATGAGATATCTACTATTACTATTCAGTTTTTATAGATGAAGACATTGAAGTCCATATTGGTTATATGATTTTTCATAAAACATGGTTGTCAAGTGTTGGAGACTAGAGTTCAATATAAGCAGCCAAGCTCTATTTTGATAGGAAGCTTGGCTATCAAATGGGTTGGACAGATGATAGATAAGATGTAGGTTTTAAGGGAGAAAATCTGTGGAAAGGCAAGGTACATAAAAGATAAATCAAAGTATAATCTTCATTAACTTTAAATTCTAAATCCTCACTAGTCTCATTCTTCATCTTGCCTATTTTTAAAACTCCACTGGCTCGAAACACCCCATGTAGACTAGGCTACCTCAAATTTGGACTGAACTTCCTGTTTCTGCCTCCTGGGTGCTGGAATTATAAACATGAGCTACCACATGTAGCTCATGAATAAATACTGTAGTCTAGTCCATTCCAATCTACACAATGGATGTGTACATTCCAATTCTCTATCCAGGTGTAGTTTCATATATATTCATACACACACACACACACACACACACACACACACAAACACACGCACATATGCACTAACAGACTAGTACTCAAGGACACGGCTGTCTCGTCTAGTCATATAACCTTTCTGGGATACACGTGACAGTGTTCTAGTCAATAGAATGTGAAAGAAAATGATGGGTGCCACTTTCAAACCAGAGCATCAGAACAATAGGCATATTTTCTTCACACTCATTTCTGGTTTCTTGCTTATGAAAAACTGAACTTGGCAGCAACACAGTTCAAATGTGCGGATGAAAGAAAAAAAACTAAGAGGTTGATTAATGTACTGCAAGGAGTCTGAGGATTCCTAAACAAGTATATGTAAGAAAGTTTTCTGTGGGGCCGGAGAGATAGCTCAGTGGTTAAGAGCACTCACTGGCTGCTCTTGCAGAGGACCCAGATTCAGTTCTCAGCACTCAAATGGTGGCTAACAACCATCCATAACTCCAGTTCCAGGGGATCCAATGCCTCCTTCTGGCCTCCATGAGCTTTGCACAACATGGGTGTACTTACATACATGCAGGCAAAGTACCTACTCATAATACAAAATAAATAGGCCTTCTTTAAGAGTGGAATAAAATTCCAAATATTTCATATTTGAATCAATGTATCTTTTTGTTTTGTTTTAAAAACTTATTTATTCTATATGTGTATGAGTGTTTTGCCTGTGTGTAGGTAAGTGCATTTCATGCATGCAATGCACACAGGGACCAGAAGAGGGCATCAGATCCCCTGGAACTGAAGTTTCCAATGGTTGTGAGCCACCACTTGGGTTCCAGCAATTGAACCTGGGTCTTTTGCAAGAGCAGTAAGTACTCTTAACTACAGAGAAATCTCTCCAGCCCCATGTTTTCTGTTTTTGAGATAGGGTCTCCCTATAAAGGCCTATGTGTAGCTGCCATGGAGTTTACTATGGCCTGGACTTAAACTTATGATGATTCTCCTGCCTCTACCTTCCAAGTGGTAGGAAATATAGGCATGCATTAGTGCACTCAGCTTATTTTATTTTTTTTTTGTGGGGCTTTTTGTTTTGTTTTGTTTTGTTTTTTTTGAGATGTGAACTCATGCAGCCCAGGTTGGTCTCAAACTTACAATGTAGCTGAGGTTGGCCTTTAACTCCTAATCCTCCTGCCTCACCTCCCACATGTAGGATTATAGCTGTGTACCACTATGCTCAGTCAATCACTGTATCTTATAATATCTTTATTACTACAAATTAGATTTAACATAATCCAGACACTATTCTCTCCTAGAGAAGTAGCACATGTTTCTATTACTATACAATGCATGAAACACGTTAGATTAATAAATAATTTTTTGTTCTTTTTGAGACAGGGTCTCCCTGTTCCATCCGGTCTGGAACTTGCTATGTAGACCAGGCTGGCCTTGAACTCACAGAATTCCACCTGCCTCTGCCTCCTGGGTGCTGGAATTAAAGGCATACACCACCATGCCTAGCTATACTAACAGTTTTTTAGTGGAAAAATTATACCACTCTATTCAGTAAGAGAGTTTAGACACTGAGACCGTGCTGAGACATCAAATCCAATTTTCCCTTTTACCACTAGAATCCAGACACACATATCATCCAAAATTTCATCCTCCTGTTCTTTTTTTTTATTAAAAAATTTTTAATGTATTTTTATTTTATTTATTTTATGTTTATGAGTATTTTGTTGTATGTATGTACCCACAGAGGCCAGAAGAGGGTTTTGGATCCCCTGGAGTTGGAGTTAAGGATGGTTGTTAGTTGCCATGTGGGTGCTGGGAACTGAATTTGGGTCCTCTGCAAGAGTAAGAAGTGTTCTTAACTTCTCAGCCATCTTTCCAGCCCCCATCTTCCTATTCTTTTTAAAAAGATACTTTATTTATAATTTTTAATGTAAGTGCACCTGTGTCATGCAATGCCCGTGGAGGTCAGAAGAGAGTACTGGATTCCTCTGGAACTGGAGTTATGGATGGTTGTTAGCAGCCATATGGGTGCTGGGACTCAAACGTGGGTCCTCTGCAAGAGCAACCAGTGCTCTTAACTACTGAGCTATCTCTCCAGCCCCCGTCCTCCTATTCTTAACTTACATTCTTTTCTTTATACATTCTATTTTAATTTATGCTGGAGACATAAGCACTGGATTCCTAGACATGATTTAAAAGTTTCTACTTTTCACACTTTTTAACTCTTTAGGGTACCAGGCAATATTTAGATGACTGGTGCTAAAGTTCCTTGGAAAAGGTTTGTCCCCACAGTAATAACTCTATATTTCAACCAGCCCCATAGATTGTCTATACAGTCCATAAATGAAGACTTTCAGTCAAGAAAAAAAAAAAAAAAGACCTGTTCATATAAGCTTACATTCTACTTACCAGGCCTAGAGAGATGGCTCAGCCATTAAAGGCTAAGGCTAACAACCAAACAATATTCTACTTACCACTCATAAACATGCCTCCAAAAGTACAGTTTAATTTTATTTATTTATTTTTATGTGTATGCGTGTATTGCCTGCATGGAGGTAAGTGCACGCATGTCATGCGATGCCCGCGGAACCAGAAGAGGCTGTCGGATCCCCTGGGACTGGAGTTAAGGACAGTTGTTAGCTGCCATGTGGGTGCCGGGATTCGAACCTGGGTCTTCTGCAAGAACAACCAGTGTTCTTAACCACTGAGCCATCTCTCCAGTCCCCAAAGGTACAGTTTATATCAAATCAAAGTGCATGTTCATGTCCTCTTCCCCATTAAGCCTACTTAGCACCTTTTATCATGCCATTTTAAAAGGCTTAAGAGTCTTTTTCTTTGAAAATTAATCTGATCGTATTAGTATTAAGACATTTTTCCTGAATTTCAAAAGCAAACATCTCTATTATTATTCATTTTACTAATAATTTTCATCAGACTTCTTTTACAATACACACACAGAATATTTAATGCAATTGTCTTCACTTCCAACAACAATCTATGTCCCATTCAATTCCCTTTGGTAGAATTTCCTGAAACAGAACAATTCTTATCAATTCTTATCCATCATAAATTCAGTTATCTAATATTGGTATTTCCTTTATGACTGGCATTTTTATGATGAAAATAGTACACATTGTTATTTTCAAAAACTTTAAAAATTATGAGGGATGAAAACATTTGGAGAATGAGGATAACAGAAAGGAGAAAGTAATAAATTTGCAGTAGGTGACGATCATTCATGGAAGATATGGACGTCTGAACACAAAATGAAAATATCTATTACCTAGATGGGCCAAACACAAGATGATGAAAAGCCTAGATGCATAGAAATAATTTATGTATGGTAATCACTGAAGACAGTATGTAAATTTTAAGGAAAGCAAAAATTAAGGAAGCCATACAGATAGCATTTTAGACTGGAAATAATGGCCACGAAATAGATGACACAGAGAAGAGCAACAAGTTATGTTATATGGAATAACTGGAAATTTATTTCATAAAGTTAATGACAGATAAATGCAACATCTTAGGTAATGAGATGTGTTGGTTGAATTTAAAATGAACTAGACATAGAGTGAATCTGCAACTTCTACTAGCAACACACACAAAAAAATCCAAGCATAAGAAAATACAGACTCAGCCGGGCATGGTGGCACATGCTTTTAGTTCCAGCACTCAGGAGGCAGAGGCCAGCCTGGTCTACATACCAAGTGCCAGGTCAGCTGGGGCTATAGGGAGACCCTGTCTCAAAAAGACAAAAAGGCAGAAAAAAATACAGATTCATTTTCAGGAATTAGGATGAGATATTAAGTAGTATTCTTTTAAAAAGAAAAACAGGAATTGAAGAGTAAT